TCACCCTGACACCCTGTCATTGTCACCCTGACACCCTCATTGTCACCCTGACACCCTGTCATTGTCACCCTGACACCCTCATTGTCACCCTGACACCCTCATTGTCACCCTGACATGTCCTCGGGGCTGCTCGACAGGCTGCCTGGGGGGGCAGGGACAGCACCATTGTCACCCTGACACCCTGTGACACCCTCATTGTCACCCTGACACCCTCATTGTCACCCTGACACCCTCAGGGACACCCTGACATGTCCTCAGGGCTGCTCGACAGGCTGCCTGGGGGGGCAGGGGGGACACAGGGATGGCACCCTGACACCCTGTGACCCTGTCATTGTCACCCTGACACCCTCAGGGACACCCTGTGACCCTGTCATTGTCACCTTGACACCCTTGTTGTCACCCTGACATTGCTACTGTCACCCTGACACCCTGTCACTGTCACCCTGCCACCCTCATTGTCACCCGTGACACCCTCATTGTCACCCTGTCACCCTCACTGTCCCCCTGACACCCTCAGTGACACCCTGACCCTGTCATTGTCACCCTGACACCCTCACACACATCTCAGGGCTGCCTGGGGACATGGGGACAGCACTGCTGGCACCCTGACAGCCTCATTGTCACCCTGACACCCTCATTGTCACCCTGACACTCTCACTGTCACCCTGACACCCTCATTGTCACCCTGACACCTCACTGTCACCCTGACACTCTCACTGTCACCCTGACACCCTCATTGTCACCCTGACACTCTCAGTGCCACCCTGACCCTGCCATTGTCACCCTGTGACCCTGTCATTGTCACCTTGACACCCTTGTTGTCACCCTGACATTGCTACTGTCACCCTGCCACCCTCACTGTCACCCTGACACCCTCATTGTCACCCGTGACACCCTCATTGTCACCCCGTCACCCTCAGTGTCACCCCGTCACCCTCAGTGTCACCCTGACACCCTCACTGTCACTCTGACACCTCACTGTCCCCGACACCCTCACTGTCACCCTGACACCCTCATTGTCACCCTGACACTCTCAGTGACACCCTGTGACCTTGTCACTGTCACCCTGACACCCTCATTGTCACCCTGTGACCCTGGCATTGTCACCTTGACACCCTCAGTGACACCCTGACACCTCATTATCACCCTGCCAGCCTCACTGTCACCCTGACACCCTTGTTGTCACCCTGTCACCCTCATTGTCACCCTGACCCTGCCATTGTCACCCTGCCACCCTCACTGTCACCCTGACATTGCTACTGTCACCCTGCCACCCTTGTTGTCACCCTGACACCCTCAGTGACACCCTGAACCTGCCATTGTCACCTTAACACCCTCACTGTCACCCTGACACCCTCATTGTCACCCTGCCCCCCGTTGCCCCCCGTTGCCCCCCTGGGTGCCCCCGACCGTTGGCGATGTCCGTCCTTCCGTCCATGCCGCTCCCTCTGTCCGACATCCCGGAGATTCCCGAGCGATTCCCTGCGGGAACACACGGAAGGAAGGGCTGGAGCCGCCCCATCCCCACGGCCCCGACCCCCCCCGGGCCCCTTTTCCAAGGAAAAACCCCGGAGGAAGCTCCGGGAAGGCTCCGGGACACCCGGGAAAAGCTGCTCCCGAGGGATTTTGAACCCCAGGGAGAGCTTTTTAAACCCATTCCCAGGCAAAATTCCCAGTTTTCCACGTGCCACGGAGACACAGGGGCCCTCCAGCACCACTGGCTGTTCCCAAAACCTCTGTTTTCCAAGGAAAAACCCTTGGAAAAAGCTCCGGGAAGGCTCCAGGACCCCCAGCCCTGGCTCAGCATCCCGGGAAAAGCTGCTCCCGAGGGATTTTGAACCCCAGGGATACATTTCTAAACACATTCCCGGGCAAAATTCCCCCTGGAATCTGTCCAGGACACACCTGGTGTCCCTGGAGAACGATCCCTGTCCCCCCCAAATCCATGGGAAGGGGCAGGAGCAGATCCAGGCAGGAGCTCCCTGGAATTCCCAGTTATCCCAGGAGAGCTCCACCGATCCCCCGGGAATTCCCTGGAATTCCAGGGACGAGCAGGGGAATTATTTTATCCTTAAGACCTTCCCCCCGAGGCGAGGAAAACAAGGAATGTGCTTCCAGAGGGGAGGGAATCCCTTCCCAAACCACGGAGGGGGGAAAAACCGGGAAATCCAGGGAGCTGAGGACAGAAAAACCCCAAAATCCAAGGATCTGTCACTCCCGGGAAGCACAGCTGGGCAGGATCAGCATTCCCTTGGAATAGATCTCCCAAATCCTCTGGGATGAATCCCCAAATCCCTTGGAATGGATCCCCCAAATCCCTTGGAATAGATCCCCCAAATCCTCTGGGATGAATCCCCAAATCCCTTGGAATGGATCCCCCAAATCCCTTGGAATAGATCCCCCAAA